CTTTGTAAAGCTGGCCTCTCATTTTCAAAATTTGGAAAATATAGGCAGAGTTATCATTACTCCCCAAAGAGTTCAAAAGTTCTCACTTGATGTTAGAAAGATTAAAATGGTGAAAACACTATTTGAAATAACGAGGAGGGTCAATTCCACGAATCTGAAACTTTGAATCTGAAACTATAACTTCTTTATTTTTTATTTTAGCATTTTAGTTTACATATTATAATAGGATATAGACACAACTCTTTGCGGGCAAGAACTCGTATCAGAACGTCCAAAAAAAATTTGTCAATAATCCAACATTTTCTTGAGAATTCTGATAGCCCCCAAATAGTTTTAGCGATTGTATATAGATCAAAATGTTAAAATAAAACATAAAGAAGTTATACTTCTTGACTCTTTAAAGTTTCAGAATCGTCAAGCTGGCCTCCAAGTTACTTGGTGTTTTCACAGCTTTAATCGACGAAAGTTTTTTTTAAATCAATTGAGAACTCATCTATACTCCATTCACGTAAAAAACGACCACGTGTCGGACGAATTTTCGTTCGGTTTGTGCAGACTGATTACCCATTTTACCCCATATCACTAGAAGCAGGCAGCAACTCACGAAGAGTGTATTGCACTCGAGTTTTCCCTCGCGTGATCACAAGCTGCGCAAAGCGTAATTGTTCTCTCAGTGGACGTAGTATAGAACTCTTCGAGGGATAATCAGAACTCTGTTCATTCTTCTAAATTTTAAAAATAAGGGGTCAGCATCACAGAGATGGTCACTGGTCATTTATTAAGATATTGAAATGCGTCTATTCGATATTGATTGTCGCAAGTATAAATAAGTGCAATAATTAACCTTCTTTTTTTACTTTTAATAAGGATTGGACACAAATTCATTGATACTCATGTGATGTTAATATATTGATAAAACGCTAACAAAATTGTATTATATATCCTTATATGTAAATCATAAGTGTATATTAAAGGATCAGTACTTAATAATTAAGTTAATTACTACATAATTTCTAGGAACACTTACTGCAACTCTTTAGTAGGCTTTTTCAGTATATAGGATATGAAGAAGATCTTAATGATAACTACATCACAAAACTGACAAGGAATAGAGCCTTACAATGGGCATGTTATTCTGATCATGAGGGATGTAAGAAAATAAGCGCACTTAAATTAAGTGAATATCTCGCTAACAATGAAATTCACAAGTAAATTTCATACTTACGTTTATCTCAAAACTTGTATTTGTAACACGTGCGTGTACACGTGTGCACATGGATATATTAAAACCGATTCTCTATTTCTTTAAATCATTGAAATCAAATATTATCCTTACTATTTTTCCCGAAAGTTCATTCTTATTCTAATGACGTAAACAGAATAAATATGCCGTTATGTATAAGCGAAAATATATAATTTAAATTGACGAAAAGCATTACTTATGCATCTTTCTTCAAATGTTTCTACACTACTGCATGATAATGTGATGACGTGGCAAATGTTCTAACATACATTATATAATGGGAGAATAGTGCAGAAAAAAATTTAATTTTACGAAATGATAATTGCTTAATAAAAAATGAGAACGAAAAAATATATAACTTAAAAAAATAGAGAGTCGACTATAGGTATAAAATGCATGTACTACTTTCTATTATATAATATGTGTACTTACTTTTTTAGAATTCCAACATTTATGTATTGTACTGGTATGATGGCAGCCAATAGGACTACTTGGGATAAAATGTTGGAATTATATCTAAAAAAAGAATCAGAAAATGAAAATAATAATAGAACCTTATTGTTGAGTTTAGGTTGCGCTGAAGATCTTGATATTATCATAAATTGTTTAAATACGGCAAGAAATGCTTCATTATTTTCCAAACATGAGTATTCATTAATTTTCAAGCACATTCTTGAGATACATGTGCACAATGATATGATTCTCGACTACGTATTAAGAAACTTTATGGTTATAAAACCCACGTAATAATATTTACTTTTATAAATGCATATTGTATTTTTTCTTATTTGTAAAAATTTATTAATAAGGATTATATTATTTCGTTTTTATAGATTACTTACTACGACTGCAATAATAAGTGTTATTCTTGAAAATATTTACACTAGCGAACAAATTGAAAAGGTAAATTTTATGATTTTGGATTTACACATACTTATTAACCTAATATACAGGATGTCTGATAATTGTTCTGGAGTTCATGAACATGTAGAGAGAACTAAACTGAGACAGAAAGTTTTCTACTATTTTGCAATTTTCGTAATAGTTAACAAGATATTAATTGCTAAAAATTGCTGAAAATTGATCTTTAATAATTTTTTACTCAAATACTATCAACTTTACTTAGAAAAACTGCAAGAGATAAAAATTGTTT